TCTCTGTGTAGCTTTGCGCCTTTCCTGGAACTCACTTTGTAGCCCAGGCTGGCCTCGAACTCACAGAGATCCGCCTGGCTCTGCCTCCCGAGTGCTGGGATTAAAGGCGTGCGCCACCACCGCCCGGCTGGCTTGTAGCATTTTTAATGAAAGATTTTAGACCTACGAAGCTATATAGAGTAACATAATGGTACCTCAGGTTTAGAAACAAAGAGAACAACGCTGGCTGCTGGGACGTCTCAGCAGGTAAAGGTGCTCGCTGCCAAGCCTGGTGATCTGAGTTGGGTCCTTAGGGTTCACGTGGTAGGGTTCACGTGATTCCCACACATTGCCCTCTAACTTCCACATGTGCATCATGGCATGTTTGCATGCTTGGGAACACACACACACCACACACACACACACACACACACACACACACACACACACACACACTAAAAATGTTATTAAAGACTTAAAGACCCAACTTTACAAATATGGCTGCCTATTTTAGGTCTGTTTTGTCCTCAAAAGATCACTCCATGACGTTAAATAAAAGGTGAAGATTTAATAGGTTCAGCAGAAGGGAAGTGGAGACTGACCAATCACCTTTCAGAAGAGCTTTGCTGGGACAGTTACAGCATCATTGCCACAGACAGCCCCATGGGGCTGTGGATGGGAAGGCAAGCTTTCAGGTGCAGAGACAGAAGACATCCTTAGACAGAGCCACAAAAATAGCAAGCCAGGGTCCTGAAAGGGGATGGGCCTTCAGTTCTGGAGGACAAAGGAGTTTCTTGTTCCTGGAGGTTTCAGGGGAAAGTTCACGTCATGTGACCTGGCCGACTTGCCAGGTGTCATAGGACGAAAGCACTAGATAAAAGTAAAGCTTTAGTTTGAGGTTGTCTTGGACCTGTGCATAGCCCTGGCTAGCCGCTGCTGGGGGACAGAGAGTGAGAGCCCCAGAAGGCTAGCTTCTCAGCTGTCCAGAGAGCAGCAGGAGGCAGTGCCTTGATTTCTGGGCTAGACAGCGGCAGATAGAGGGTCTTGGCCAGATGTGAAATTTCTCATTTTGAGTATTTCCGCTTGTTTGTTTATGTTTTTAAGGCAGGGTCCCACACCTGGGCTGGCCTGAAACTCACTATGTAGCCCATGTTGGCCTTGAACTTACAGCAGTCATCTTGCTTCAGACTCCCAAGTGTTGGGATTGCTGATGTGAGCCACAGTGGCTGCTTATAGTGTATGTGTGTGTGTGTGTGTGTGTGTGTGTGTGTGTGTGTGTGTGTGTGTGTGTACGCTGTGGTTCACACCCAGAGTTGTTTATGCCAGGTGAGAACTCTGCACTGATGTTTACACCCAGCCCCACTGTTTACTTTCATTACAGGTAAATTCAGCCATAGTTTGTATTGGGTGATTTTGGATTTTATATGAATGATTTCCGTCTGTGTTACTCCACAACTTGTCTTCATTCATTGCCATGCTTAAATATTGCACAATGTAGCTAATCTCGGTTGATAGGCGTCTGGAACTATTAGCTTATTGTAAGTTGAATTATAAAGAATGCCAAATGCCAGGCATGGTGGTATCTGCCTGTAATCCTATCACTCAGGGGGTAGGGGCAGGAGGATTGGAGGTTCAAGGCCAGCCTAGGCTACATGAGACCCTGTCTTAAAAAAATAGATTTTATACATTTATGAAATTCTCAAAGAATTAATAAGATACTATATTTAAATAATAAGAATGCTTTAGTGAGTATTTACACACATATACACATATGTATAAATGTATTTGTATGAATAAGATATGGAGTAATTAAGTATACATGTGTACAACTTATACACACACACACACACATACACACACACACACACACACACACACACACACTTTTCTGGAGCATACCAAAATTTATTTTCTCACCAGAGCTACCTGAGAGATATAAATGTTTGCCATTCTGGGGAGGGTCCTGTAATCTGTGCTTCCTTTATCTGAAAGGCTGAGTATTTGAGCAACTTTGTAAATCCTTCTCTGCCTGTGGTATAAAGCCTGTCTGGCCCATGTAAGGAAGATCCTCTAACAGTTCTTTAATGGATTCATGCTAACTGCTTTTGTATTTTAATGCACTGAATCCTTTGTTTTAAGAGTGCCCTGCTTGCCGGGCGGTGGTGGCGCACGCCTTTAATCCCAGCACTCGGGAGGCAGAGGCAGGGGGATCTCTGTGAGTTCGAGGCCAGCCTGGGCTACCAAGTGAGTCCCAGGAAAAGGCGCAAAGCTACACAGAGAAACCCTGTCTCGAAAAACCAAAAAAAAAAAAAAAAAAAAAAAAAGAGTGCCCTGCTGTGTTCTCCATGTCCTTTTATGCACATAAATCATCATTTCTGATGCGGCTGAATCTATCAACATTTTCCTTTGTCTCTTGTGCTTTTTAATGCTTGTTTAAGAGTTTCTTGTCACCTCTGCCAGTAGGACAGCTGGGAGCCCTTGAGGTCCTGACTTCAGGAGGCACGAGGATTATGACTGCCACTGTCTGGTAAGCTCATTATGGGCTAGTGCCAGGTCTGTGCTGAGAGGAGATGTCCAAAATAATGTACAAGTAGGAATGATGTGAGCCCACCTGCTTGAGAGTGGCAAAAACCACAGTGTGATCTGTGTCTTGGTTTTTTCTGACTCTTGCTCAAGGGCTGAACTGCCCACTTGAAGGCCCTGGGGGTGGGAGGGGTGGGGAGGTGGGCGAGGGGAAGGGGGTCTCCAGATGCTTGCTAAGGGCTCTTTCCTTTCTTAAGGGAGAAAATGAAACCTAACCTCCCAGTTGTTCCAGAGGGGTGCTTAGGAACTCTTCACCCCGGCCCAGCCCCAGGAAACCTTGCACACTGAAGTGTTTTGGTTCAATGCTGAACCGTGGTGTGTTTGTTTCTCTGAGGTTCAGGGGTCCAAAGAGGCTGGGTGACTTGCCTGAGTTCACCCAGCGGCTGGTCAGCAGGGTGGGGAGTAGTTGTGGAATCCTGTGACTCCTAGCTTAGTTTTCTGGCTCTGCTCAAGCTGTTCCCTGCTGTGACATTTTTGTTTATTCGTCCTTTAGCTGCTACACTTGGTGAATAGTTGGGATGTTTAAAAGTCCTAATCCTTTAAATTGCAGCTATTGTCTGCCTTAGAATGTTTGGAGGGGCTGGTAAAGAAATTATTTTGCCAAACTGTTGTTGTTGGTACAAGTTGACCATCCCTAATCCAAAAATCTAAAATCCAGACTGTTCCCAAACTCCAAATTTCTTGAGTATGGACACGATGGCACAAATGGAAAAATTTTACAATAATTTCTTATAAAACTTTATTCCGCCGGGCGGTGGTGGCGCACGCCTTTAATCCCAGCACTTGGGAGGCAGAGCCAGGCGGATCTCTGTGAGTTCAAGGTCAGCCTGGGCTACCAAGTGAGCTCCAGGAAAGGTGCAAAGCTACACAGAGAAACCTGTCTCGGAAAAAAACAAACAAACAAACAAAAAAAAAACCCAACTTTATTCCATTCATACATATGCTTAATAACTCAGGGTATGTGCGCAAGGCACATGTAAGTGAACTTCTGTCACTGGGACAACATGTCTGAGACTGTCAGTGTAGACAGAGGAGCGCTTAGTTTAAGCTCAGTCTCCGAGGTTTTATCTGTGCCTGTTAGAGCTAACGATGTTATAGTGGTTCACAGAAAGGAAGAGGAAATGAAATTACCCTGTAGGTGAGCTTTAGTAGAGGAGGCTCATGGCCACGGGCAGGCAAGATCTGGCCTTGAAATGGGAGAGTATTTGGAGAGAGAGGTTGTGTGGTGATTGATGGTTCTGAAAGGAAAGGACTGTCACTTCCCAGGCCATTAGGACAGCTACAGTAGCACACCACAGGGAGCAGGGTGGGGCCTTAAAGGAGAGAGAGCCTTCCATTCCTTCAGTTCTATGGAGCAGGAAAGGTGTAGCATCGGGTCATGCAGTGGGGTCCTGAAGAGATGGGGCAGACCCTTCAGTTCCGACAGTTCCCTTTAGATCCCAGGGAACACGGTACAGTTTCTTGCTCTTCTAGGGCTTATTTGGGGGGGGGGCGTGTCTTTACACCACAGGCCTACTTAGAAGTCACAAGGCATCCATAAAAGTAAAGTTAGAGGGGTGGAGACATGGTCTGGAGGTTAGGGACATTTGATACTCTTGTCAAGGACCCCAGTTTGGTTCCCAGAACCCATATCAGGCAGCTCACAAGGTCCGGGAGATCTGATGCCCTCTTCTGGTCTCCTTCCTCTTAGGAAGAGATCAGTCACTGGATTTAGAGCCTACTCTAGTCTGTGATGCCACAGGTCCACAAAAGACCTCATCTTAGCTTTGTTCTATCTATAGAGACCCTGTATAGAGGTTTAAATTGGGTCACATTTATAGGTACTAGGGGTAAGGACTTCATTATAATCCCTTTTGGCATGTCATCTTATTTGTTCTAAATGGGTGTACTCTGTAGTCTCAAGCCTAGGATTCTGCCCTTTAGAAACAGTCCCCATTTGCACAAAAGCTTCCATTCTGTGTGTTCATCACTGCAGTGTTTGTAATGTTGAAAGCTAAAAACAAAAGTTGAGTAGAGGGCCAGGGTGATGGCTCTGTTAGTAAAGTCACTTGTCACCAAGCCTGACAACCGGAGTTCTGTTCCTGAGACCCACATGATGGAGGGAGGGAATTGATGCCTGCAAGCTGTCCTCTGTTCCCCACCTGCACACCATGGCGTATACACGCACGCACGCACGCACGCACGCACGCACGCGCACACTCGCGTGCGCACACACGCACACTCATGCACACGCACACGCACACACACACACACACAAATGCAATGATGACATTTTTTAAGAGGTGAGTAGAGCTGGTGTTGTGGCTCATGGCTGTAATTGTAGCACTTGGGACCCTAGAGAGAAGATTACTGGCTGTTTAAGCCTAAATGAAGAGAGAGGTCTAGGCAAGCCTGTCTTAAACAAACTAAGACGGGTGGTGGGTGGTGGGTGGTGATTTGCACTCTTTCTAGGTTGACACAATCCTGTAAGTGACAAACACACAGAAGGGTAAAGGAAGTTTCCATAAAACCCAAAAAGATACTGTAAACCTTCTCTTTGGACCCTTTCTGGAGCCACAGCTAAAGCAGAAAGAAGAAATATCAATTTGATATAAAAATGATGTGTTTTTAGGAGTTTAATATTCCCTAAAAACTAGCTTTTCACGAACTATGAGAAATTAAAAATAGAAAAGTCCAGCCAGTGATGCTGTTTACATTTGACCACAACCTTGAACCGACAAGCCAATGATTGTTCTTAGCTCCTGAATTGTCCCTTATTTCTTAACAGAAGACTAAATGTCTCCGAAGTGCTCCGTGGGCCCTTCCCTACTGATACCCACCCCTTCTCCTTGAAGGGCACCGTCGCTACAAATTTGATGGGTACTCTTCCTGTCTGTATTTTAATACTCATCATACATATTTAAATTTGATTTAAACGTGGCATGCTGTATATATTTTTGAAATTAGTCTTCTGCTTTTTGAAGTCTGTTCTTACTGGCACATCACCTCCCCTTTGTTCTTTTGATGTCAGTTAATATGACCGTATTATAGGTTATACATCCTGTTTGATAGGTATTAGGTTTTCTTACTTGCTTGCCTTATATACAGTGATGTCCCACAGAGCTGTGTGTAGCCGCCTTGTGGACATGTGATGGTGTTTGTTTCATGCTTTGTGTTCATGTATCTGGCTCGAAGGACTTACATATATCCAGCTCATGCTGTCTTATGTCACACCATGCTATCAGAATATCCAAAATGTGGCATTTTACATATTTTCCAACTATAGTAAGGGAATCCATCCACACTCTCTTCAGTTCTAACTTGGTTCGTTAGATTCTTGAGACTTTTCCAGGTGTGAAATGACAGACTTGGGCTTACTCTGTATTTCTGTGGTTAACACTAAAAAAAAAAAAAAAAAAAAAAAAAAAAAGACAAAAGCTATCTATTTATGTTTAAGGAGATGGTGAGAGCAGGTTCTTGGTTTAGCACGTTCATGGTGACCTTTGCCTCTAGCAAGCTCCTTTGGGAAACAATGGAGTGTGTGGTCCCTGTAACACCTGACTCAGAGAAGGGTGGTAAACCGTCTCCAGCCTGCTGGAAGCTGAAAGACAATGCTTCTGGGACGGGTGTTACCAGCTGGATGCTGTTATGCACTCCTGCATTCCCAGCACCTCGGAGGTGGGGTGAGAGGAGTGCCATGAATTCAAGGCTAGCCTGGGCTACATGGCAGGTTCCAGGCCATCCATGGCTTCATAGCAAGACTCTGACTCAGAAAACAAAATGAGAAACAGACAGAGAGATAGAGAGACAGAGAGAGAGAGAGAGAGAGACAGAGAGAGAGACAGAGACAGAGACAGACAGAGAGACAGAGAGATATTAAGTCCCGATACTAATTGGCTCTCTTCAGAATGACGTGCAAGGAGAGTTTCATTTATTATTATTTTTTTCTAAGTAAAATCAAACACTGTGAGCTTGAACTAAACTTTATATGGAGAGAACATTCATCCGCAGTGACAGGAAAGTCACACATCACAGGCTGTGTGTAGGCTGACCTGTCCCCCAAACCCACAAATTACCACTCTTTTGGTATTGAGTGAGACTTGCCTAAATTCTTTATAGTGATACAAAGAAATACTTAGTTTTTTCTTTCTTTCTTTCTTTCTTTCTTTCTTTCTTTCTTTCTTTCTTTCTTTCTTTCTTTCTTTCTTTCTTTCT